ACACAAAAGACAAGAGAAATCAGAAGAGAAAACACTGCAGGTGTGTTCCGAAGTTTTGGCAGGTAGGGTTGCCTTGGTAGCCAGGAGGTGGGGGAATGACCTTGAATGGAATAGGCTGGCCTCGACCTTCTGCCTGACATGTCTGGACAGGCCAGGGCTGAGGGCAGAATGGGCTTTCCATGTGCCACACTGGTGTGGACAAATTCTGTGGTTTCTGGGCCTTAGACAAGCTCCCATGTAATGGAGATCAGGAGAGAATTGCCAGGTGTGGCCATGTTCCTGGTTCTTGCTCTCTTCATCTGACTAACTCCTAGTCATCTTTCAGAGATAGTTCAGGTGTCATTTTCTCCAGGAAGCCTTCCCCAGGCCCACCCCCTCCCCAGCTGGTGGTACAGAGCCCTTCCCTGTGCCTCCCAAGCTCCCAGGGAAAGCACTTACCGGCAGCTACTTCTCCATTCCCTTCCCAGTGCCCATCACGTCCCCACCCCCCGCCCCAACCACCCCTGGATAGGGATATAGTTTATTTTGTAGATCTGGCTTTGGAACCATTTGAGTATTTGAAATAAATACACATTCAAAAGAGTAATTCCAAAAATTTGATAGCAAACTATTATGAACCTAATTGTATATGGAGTTGGTGACATTACACAGAGAGACTTTACTCATATTTTTACTTTTTCATTTTCTTGCTTCCTTCTTGATATTTCAAGATTCCTGTATGTATGTATGTATGTATTTTTAAGATTTTATTGGGGAACTGGGGCGGGGGGAACAGCGTTGGGGAATCAGAGAAGGGGAACAGACAAGTTGCTGTCCTTTTGTTCTTCAGTCTACTTGTGGGGGACGTTGCTTCACTGGCCCATGTTAGTATCATCATTGCTCTCTTCCCCGGGTGAGGCAGATCGGTCGCCGGCCCCAAGACGGCGCGGCTCATGGCAGCTCACTCCTGCTGCCAGCCACTCACGCCCGCTGCCAACCACTCACAGTAGCTTTACAGCAGCCCACTGCAGCCCCACTGCAGCCTACGCCTTCACAGGCGACTCACTCCAGGTGGAGCTGTTGTTCACCATCTTAGCTGTAGAGAGCGCAGTGTCACTGGCCATCATGTGGGATCCGAACCAGGGCCCTGCTGCTCAGAGCTGGCGTCCCAAGCCAGCTCTTAACCAACGTGCCACTCGGCCGGCCCTTTTTTTTTTTTTTTAAAGATTATTATTATTATTATTTTTTAAGATTTTATTGGGGAATTGGGGGAGGAGAACAGACAAGTTGCTGTCCTTTTGTTTTTCAATTTGGTTGTGGAGGACGTGGCTTCACTGGCCCATGTTGGTATTGTGATCATTGTGCTCTTCTCGGGTGAAGCAGTTGCTCGCTGGCTGTTGGACAGCAGCTCACGAAAGCTCACGCCAGTTGTCGGTCACTCACAGTTGCTTTACGGCAGCCCACTGCAGCAGGGGCTGCAGCCTACGCCATCACCGGCGACTCACGGCAGCCCAGCTCCAGGTTGAGCTGTTGTTCATCATCTTAACTGTAGAGGGCGCAGCATCACTGGCCCATGTGGGAACCAAACCGGCAGCCCTGTTGCTCAGAGCTCGGGCTCCCAAGCCAACTATTAACCAAGGAGCCACTCGGCCAGCCCATATTTATTTTTTAATCTCCTGGCTGTTACAGGAACTTCCTGTGCCCATCCTTTCAAGGTAGATTGGCTGTGACATGTTCTTAGTTTTTCTTCATTTGAAGATGTCTTGATTTTCCCATCATTGCAATAAAAAAAAATGAACTACTGCTATGGATGAGCTTCAAAAGCATTGTATTAAGGGAAAGAAGCCAGACACAAGTGCATATTATATAATTGCATTTCTGTGACGCTTCTAGAAAAAGCAAAACTCTAGAATCAGCAACAGATCAGTGGCTCCATGAGACTGAGGAGGGGAATGGGGGTTGACTGATAATGACCAGAAGGGAACTTCGGGGTTGATGGAAACGTCCTAAAACTGCCTCGTGGTGACGGCCACACATTCTATCAATTTACTTT